CAGGCACTCCCTGCCAGCAGCACTGAGGGACCAGTGATGCCTGGGAGCCTGTCCCTGACATGGTGGGGGAGTGACACCATCATCAGGGACAGGAAAGGCTTGTGGGAATTGCCCATTCCCACAGGAGCTGCTGGCCTGGGATTTGATGATTCTCTGCAGAAGGGTTCCAAAGAGCTGTCCTCAATGCCCAGGGACCATCCCAGACTTTGCACTCATGGCCATTTCATCAGCAATAATGTTCAGTCTGGTATTTTGCCCTTACCTCTGTTCCCTCTCAGCTGGGGCTCCTCTCCAGGCTGAACAGCCCCAGCTCCTTCAGCCTTTCCTGGGCATGGAGATGCTCTGGGCCCTTCTTCATCATCTTTAAAAACAATTGCCCGAAAATACCATCAAGAGAATAAATAATCCCTAATGCAATTAATTTACACACATACAGGTGACTGCTTTCAAGCAGTAATTGTTCTCTTGGGAAAAGCTTTCTTTTTCTTGGGTCTTAACATCTTGCTGGGAATAAAGTAACTCAGAAAGAGAAAAAATGTTTAACAAAACTTATTTGCTAAGCGCTGTATATTTAAATAGTTCTTCACAAACATACAGTCAGATATTTCGTCCTCTTATGATTAATCACTCTGTGAGGGGAGATTGAAGGACTAAAAAAACCCATCAACTGGTCTCACCACAATCAAAGGTATAATTTCCCTGAAACCAGGATTGTACCCTTTGTGTATTGACACGAAGAGATTATTTAATTGCAGTATTTAATGCCCAGAAGATTCTAATTAAAATGATCCAGCCCTATTTTTCCACTCTGAAAAATAAAGCAGAAAAAGGAAATACAGAAGAGAAAACTGCAAAAGGAACAGGAAAGGAGAACATGTTTTTGTCATATTTAAAGAATTTTGCTAGGCAGCTTTAGTGAGCTTTATCAAATTCACACAGTCAGATGAAGACTTGGGAGAAATGCAAAAACTAAGGCTCTGAAAGTCTATTCACTAGAAATTTTGTACATGATCACCTGCTGGATGGTGAAGTTTGTGTCATGACTACTTTCTAAAATATTGATCACAGGAGGAAAAAGGTTTACACTGGTAAAACGACTTATCATCCTTTCATCTGGCTGATTCAGTAATGAGCAAAGAAAGAGGACAACCCAGTGCCGGATAAGCAGTGCAAATCCTATATCTGATCTCAATATCCAGGAAAGTGTTCTGGAGGTTCTTCTGTGACTCCTGAAGAGCTTCAGTTCACAGGCAGCAAGCATTTTAATTCATAATAATGCACCTCCTCTCAGTTAACTCAATGTATCAACCACCAGATGCAATAAGTTAAATTCCAAAATATTTTCTGTCTCCTTCTCCTCCAGAACATTTTGCTTTACTTTCATGTCCAAAGCTACAGAGATGCTTTGCCCACTCTAAGCTCAGTAGTAAAGTTAAAGAACAGGATATTTAATCCTCTTGACATTCACGAATAATTTGGATTTTTTCCATGTGTTGTTTTCCCATTAGAATATGAAAAGATTTTTTTTTTTAAATGTATATCTGTATATTTGTATATTGGCTAGCAGTGTCTCTTCCCAAGTATTCCTGCATGGAGCTGAGAAGACAACAGTTTTGGGGAAGAGCTGCAGACGGGAGATGAAGCAAATTACATTGTCCAACTACCAGTGCCAGTAAATTTGGATACAACCAAGACCCTCCTGCTCATGGAGCTGGGGATAATTTTACAGTCAATAGAAGCTGCAGAAGCTGCGCATCTTTCAAATTGTTGCCTGAAGGTGGGACAAGGGAGTTTTTCTTCAAAAGTGCCTTAAATGTTGGGTCTTAATCTGAGCTGACTGGCTCTTGGCTCTTGCAGCCTCCCCTGCTCCTGTATTGACCCTAATGAGAAGCTGACCCTAATGAGTTTGCTGTGAAATTTCATCACTGAAAGAATCTTGAAAATGTTGAAATGCTGTGATCCTTGGAAAAATCTTCGTGCATCTTTGTAATTCTGTTTTCTTGACATTTCTATGTGTTTTATCAGAAGGAAGGTACCAGGAATGTGCAGTCTGTGTCCATGGGTTTCATAAAAGTCTCTGAAGAAATGCTAGAGGATGTCAAGGAAGATACACTGTTAGGCTCTGTTAAGTCTGATTTTCTTCAATATCAGCTGAAGCTCTGATTATTTCCTTTCTCTAAGCAAAAGGTCAATAGAAAGTAAGCAGACATTCCTATTAATATAACTGTAGTGTTTCCTTGTTGCCAAGGTTTTGTGTGTATAAATGATGACAAAACAAGCACTTACACTGAAAAGGGCAGTTCAGCACTAGACAGGGACAGACACCACGAAAAAGTTTCCCTGGTGTAGGTAAGTACTCCTTATTTAAAAGCAAGTTTTATTTGGCTGGTGTTCAGAGCTCTGTCTTCATAAATGCTTAATACCAGAGCTATCAAAGCTTCCTTGACCTCGTGGTTTACTGTAAATGGGGAGAAGAAAAGGAGCAAGCTGTTCCTTTGTAGAAAATCAAGCTTAGAGAACATGGCTGGAGCTGCAAATCTCTCACTGTCATTTTAGAAACTTTGACAGAAATTTATTAAGCTGGAACTTTTCTAGAACATTCCTGAATCTCTACAGCCAAAGACTTGAGAAGATATACATGAGTGTAAATTCAGGATCTTCCAGGGGATTCTTGAGATGGCCCCTGTAGTGCAGTGTGGAGGAACAGGACAACCAAAGTGGTGGTAGAGACACAGCAAGGCCAGGCACATGCCACAGGCCAGCAACTTCTGTCACCTTCCACACAAATAGGTTCTAAGGTAAATCCCTTCAGTGCAACTTTTTTTTCTTATCGTTTTCTCTTCCTTTGCAGAGGATTGTAATGGAATGGGTTGTGAGGCAGATCTGGCTTGGTCTGTGCTTCAGGTGATGGGGGGCTTTGCTTTCTAAAGGTTTGTTTGGAATGGTGAGTGAGAGGTGAATAATTGCCAGTGGATGTTAAGCAAGAAAGGGTTAGAGCCACATTTTTGCATATCCCATATTCTTTGAGGAATTGCTGACAACTTTTGGAAATCTGGTTGCAAGTAGCCTCTTCCCACTTCCTTCATCCCTCTTTATATATCTCCATGTGTCACCTGCCCACTGTGGTTGTTCCTGGAGCAGGAGAGATGGGAGATACAGAAGAGGGCACAACCGGCTTCCAAGGGGACCAGAGTCCATACCAAACTTAGTGATAATGAAACAGATGATTCCTAGGGAGACCAGACTCTCTTTGAATGCCTGACCAGGACCCCACTGTGTATTTTAACACGGGAGAATTGGAATCCCAGCTATTTTCTTGCTCTATTTTTTTTTTCCCAGAAAGGAAAACAACAAAATTATTTTTTATTTAGAAACTGGTGGCAGATTTTAAGTTTTCTATTCTGGAATAAACTGAGGCAATTGTTTTTTAGCCTGCCATATTTCCAGTTATTAAACTGTGTGTGGTCCGTACCAGTGCTCACCACCAGAGAGCCCTTAATTGTGGGTTTCATGTGGGGCACCTGCAGTGTGCGGGAGCCTTTGTGGGACCCTCCCAGGGCTGGGGGACCTTCCCAGGGCTGTGAGCCACATCCCCGGGCTGGTTCACAGGCGCAAAGGCTGTGCCGGGCATGCTTGGAAGTTCAAGCTCAGTGAACTGAGACCTCGGAGAACAATTGCCCCGCTGGCAGCAGCGTCCTGGGAAGGCTCTGCGGCTGCCCTTCCTCAGAGACCCCCAGCCTCTCCCCGGCCGCCCTCCCTTCAGACATTCACAAGTTTTCCTGACAAAAGAGCAATTACAACCTGACAGCAGCAGCTCACAAAGAAGATGGGGATGACCCTGAGGAGCAGTTTCTGTGGCTCAACACATGGCCAGTCACCGACAAAGCCGGCCTGCTCCCATTTGATCCCAGAAGAGCCTCCCAGACTGGCACGCTTGACCAGGAACTGGCTGGGTGACTCATTCGTCTGGCGGCTCTGTGATTCATGAGCCTCCAGGAGGAAGGGAGGAGGGAGGCAAAAGCTTTTCAAATCTCAAGTTAAATGCAAGAGAAACACATTCCCCACAAAGCAGACGCTCAGCTGTGTCCAATTGGGGCCGGAATGCCCACACAAAGCCAGGGCAGCAGTCCTGGTGTGATGCAGGCGAGGCTCCGGGGCCAGCCCTGCTGGGCCTGCACCTTCCCAGCCCCGTGGTTTGGAAGGCCTCGAGTGTAAAAACAGCAAGAGTTCCTTACGTCCTATCCTTGTGTGCTCTCCACGTCCCGGCCCTGGGATTTCCCCAGGAACGTCCCACTGGTGAGTGCTTTGGCGTTGATATTGAGGGTTTTGACCTGATATTCAGGTCAAAATACCTCAAATGACTTTGTCCAGTTGAAATTAAACTTCTGGTCTGCACTAATAATTTTGTCTCCCTCTCGTATCTGTGAAGCATGTCCCCAGGCAGGAGTGCCATCCTCAGAGGTGTTCACAGGAGGCAGAACAATCTCCGTGATCACAGAAGAGCCTCACCAGCTGACCTGACTGACCATCTCTCTTCAGTGACAAGGGAGAGAGGAGGAGAGTCCAGCATTGGCATCAAGGAGGGACTTCCCTCAGTGTTGTCTGAACCCTGCCAGGAGCTGTGGGTGGTGCAGAGTGTTCACTGGAATGCTGGAGCTCCCAGCCACCATTCCCCTCCCAGGCAGCATTTTATTTATTGTTATTTGTTGCTTCAGACATATGGGTCAAAATGCTAAATTATTTAGCAGCTGTTGTCAAATGGATTTTAAAACAATTAGCAAGTGCTAAAAATGGGCAGCTTGCTCTCTCTCTTGGATTTTGCCAAAGAAAGTGCCTGTTTTCAGTTTGTTTGCCAGCAGTTTGTGCCTCCTGCTGCTGTGGCCACATCTGGCCTTGGAGCACGTTTGTCTCTCAGCGAGTGCCAGATGCCTGAACCAGCGCCCAGCTGGCCTGGGTGGGAGCCTGGAACACCCTAGTGTTACTTTTTTTTGCTTTTCTAGTGCTGCTATTGTGGTCCTGGGCACCCTGCATCACCCACCTGCCACAGCTGGGTTCCACCACCCCACAACTGTGCTGGGGACACGGTGCAGGAGCTGCTAAAGCCCAGCACCAAAGGAGCTTGGGGCCTTCCCTCTCTTGGACCACCAAGACAGCTCTGAACATCCAGGTTTGAGCTTTTCCTTTCTGTGTTGGGGAAGGTGGGAGGGCCACACCTGGGGTGGGGAGACCTGCAGAGGCTGCACTGAGGTGTCCAGTTCTCATGAGGTGGCTCAGCCATGAGGGTTACCTGTGCTGACCTGGGGAAGGGGACATCGCCCAGGAGATGGTGCCACTCAGACCCCTGTGAGAGACTACAAAATGAAAATCAACTCAGAGAACAAAGGCTCTGGATGAAGTTACTGTGCTGGGGTCACTATAAATCCAAGGTGCTGTGAGGGTGTATGTGTGTCGAGCCTTCCTTCTCAGGGGTTTTGCAGCTTGCCTCAACCAGAAATGCAGATCCTCTGTGGTGAGGCAGTGTGGGATGTGCAGTTTGGTGCCTCCCGAGGCTCTCAGCTCCACGAGATTAAAGTGATCAAGAGCATCCTTGGCTACATTTCAGAGCTTCAGCACACCGGGCAGATTTTGGCCACCAAGCATTTGTTTATCTTCATTTCCAAAGCACAGGATGTGCTTTGTCCGGAGTCAAAGGGAGAGTTTGTTTCTCTGTGGAGTTTGGGATCACCCATAAAAGCAGGTACTTTTCACTTAGGCACAGGTTTACAAAAGCCGGTACTTTGCATTTAACCCCAGGTTTACAAAAGCAGGTACTTTGCATTTAGGCACGGCTTTAGAGCCCCCGCTGCCAGCCCAGCTCTGGGGCATCCCTTGGTGGGACGTGCAGCCCTCTGCCAAGCTCCGGGGAATAGGACAGGGGATGGAACACATTCAGCCGAGTTTCTGTTTCTAAAAAATGCTGCACTAGGCAAAAGATTTGGACCTGAATGAAAGTGGTGGACCTAATTTTAGACAGTACCTATGAATGAAACTTGAAACAAGCTGTTCAGGAAATATCTTCCTCTGCAGCAGTGCCAGGGAGAGTATGGGATTTAATGCTAAATTAGCCAGTGCTGATGAACAGGTTACTGTGAGAATACTTCTACTTTCAGCTAAATTAATTTTTTAAAAGAAATCTTCATTTCTACATAGATATCCATGTGCTTCTGCAAAAGCTGCAGATCTCAGATCTTTTCCCTCCAGGGAACAAGAGCCTTGTCTGCATCGGTGCCATATGTCACCTTTTGCTGCATGTTTGCCACCATGGCCCCACACTGCAGGCTGTTGGCTTCAGCCCCGGGCCTGGGGATGGCCCAAAGTGACTGGCAGGTAGGAGAAGATTTGACAGAGCTGGAAACCTGTCCCAGATGACCAAGCATGCTGGATTCAGTGCTCTGTCTGCTTGTGCCCTTTTGCTGTCCAGCATCTTTTTGGCTTTGTCTCATCCCTCAGTCAGGATCTGTTTGAGATCTCAGTTGCTCTCCAAAGCAAAGCTACACAACCCTCTGACTGCCCACAGGGAGAGAGAGATCAGGTGCATTACTTGTATTTCTGGGTGTAAATGCCCACCTGTCCCATACTTGTGCTGGATTTATTGCTCTGAGCCTTTCAGGAGCATGGAAAGCTGCACTGCCAGAATAATCCAGGTGCACTTCAAAAGATGATGGGATTCTTAGAAAGATTTTTCCCTCAATTTGCAGAGACTTGCTGGTGATCTAAAGTGACTTGATGGTGTCTGATGAATGGAAGATGGAACCTGCCCAGGTGAGTAATCAAAGTTTATCCTTGAATCTGTGTCAGCTGTGTGAAAGGACGCTGGGCACTTTCTGAGGTTGGGAAATGCACAGATATTGGCACAAAAGCTTGGTTCAATTGAAGGCACAAGAGGTTATTGATTAAAGTCAGTGGAGTGAGGATTTCACTTGGGTTCTCTGCCCTTGTCCTGCCCAGGCCAGACCCATGTTGCAAAAGCTACTTCCTGTCCAAACACCTGATCCTGAGTGTGGTTCAGCAGCTCTTGGGAAGACCTGAGCTTGCTTTACTCTCATGGAAAAAAGGCAGTGGAAAGTCTTCAGCCCTTCACAGTTCTTAACAGAGGTATCACACCAGTCCCAGGTGCTCCACTGAAAACCTTTCAAATGCTGAGATGCAACCTGGGGTTTCCAGCAGACATTTGGAGACACATGTACCAGAAATGTTTGGACTCAATGGGAATGCCATGGATCTCTCAGGTTCCTTTTATAACCTCATCTTGGCAATTTTTGTGTAAATTTGAGTAAAACCAAGGGATGCATCTTGAGATTTGTTTATAATTTCTGGATATTTAAAAAATCCACAACTGCCATGAGCTATTCCTTCTCCAGCCCTTCCACAGTAGAATTCCGGGAAGTAACACCTTTTAACAACAAGCAAATCTGTCTTAATAACTCAAAAAATCTTGTGCTAGAAAGTAGAACTTTCCCCTGGTAATGGTTCTGGCTAATTTTGGGAATTCTAAATATCTGATTAAATATTTCTGGAATTTCTGGGAATATATTGAGATGTTTAATGGGCTAGTTCTTCATAAAGATTTTCAGCAAAATATCTTCTATTGGATCTTAAAGGAATCCCTCCAAGTAATCCATCTCCCTAAATTCCTAATGTGGTTCCTTACATTTCCTAAGCTGGCTTCTTAAATGACTTATGTTCTCCTTTGCAGAATGCATAGACACAAATAAACCACATATATGAGGAAGGAATGTTCCTCTATGCCACAAAACAAATTAAATATATTGATCCAAAATCACTCCTGGAGGAATTCCTGTGAATCCAGATGAAACACATGAGTTGAATTTATTAAAGCAGCATTTATGATAGGGGGTGGGGACAGCAGGAGAATGAGGTTTTGCAAGAGTAAAATGATTGTTTATTAGTGATGAGTGAATCACAAAATGTCCAGCATGTGTGTTGATCTTAGAGAAGGAACTGAAAAAGTCTGAAACCTGATCAGGTCTCTCTGAATCCATATGTCAGCAAAACTGCCTGGAAGTGAGTCTGAGTCAGGGTTCTCATGCAGACATTCTGAAACATCCAGATTTACATGTTGGATATTGTCATATCTCAGCAAGCGCTGAGAAATTAGGGATGGTGAATTCAACTGGTAAATAAACAAGAACAAACTCATTCCTGAATTCAATATGATTGTGATATTTTGGAGATAGTTACACAAATCCCTCAACCATGCCAGAGCTGCAGAAGGCAATATAAAAGCAGGGGAAACAAAACTAATTCCCAGTTCAGACCTCATAAATAAACAAGGCATGTCCAAACTTTTGTTTTACACTGTGTCAAACCACAAGAAGCTTTTCAAATGTCTCTGTATAAAAATAAGTTTTGGGGCTGGAGCAGCGTGGTTCTCTTTTGCTTTTGTGGACAACCCTGTACAGATCATGATAATAATGATAACTTATTACTTAGAGAGCCTCACTCTTCCCTTCTGGACCAATTTACACCTTTCTGGACCTGTGTTCTTAGAACTAAGCAAGGCTGGTCATCTGCAATAAGTGTTAAAACCTCAACAAAATAGTGATCTCTTAAATCAAAGCTATTTTGAGGCACTGGTAGAATTCTGGGCTTCAGCATTTCCATTCAGGGTCTTTCTGGTGCTAAACGAAATCCTTAACAACCATGTCATAAAATAAACTCTTCATCCTCCCATAAAATTTTGAGCCTGTGGAAGAAAAGTGCATATCTAAAGAAATCTTAAAGCAGCAGGAACAGGAGGGCAAAGACTTATTCACATTCTGGAGAGCTGGATGAGCACCCTGGTGGGTTTTTGAGTGGATCAAACTGAGAGAGAAATTCAGGTTTAACAGGGCTTATACATCTGAGCAGAGGGGGTTTTATTCCTATGCATCTTTTTCCTGAAACAGGAATTATGTCTAAGAATTTGCATTGCAGGAAATAAATCCATTCTTTACTTCTCTGTATTTTGTGATCTATCTTCAGCATGCAAGGAAGTCGGGTTCCAGGTTTTCCCCTGCTGTGCAGCAGGAGTGGGGATCCCTCCTGCTGTGCCTTCACCAGAACACAGCCTTGGACGTGCCCAGGGGCAGAAAGGGGCTCCTGGAAGGAGCTGCGTGAGTCAATGTGCAGCTGCAGGATTGGTGTCCCTGTGGCAGAAATCAGAGAGTTCCTGGCGTGGGGCAGAGCACTGGGAGAGGGCCTGGCCATGGAGGGTCTCCTGCTGGCCTGAGGCTCCTGCAATTGAGCACAAACCAATCCCTCCATGGTCACGGAGCAGTTCCCATCTGCAGGAGCAGGAGCTGGGCTCTGGTGGGCTGAAAAGAGCTCCATAAACATCGTTATTATTCTTCATTAGAGCAGCTCTGCAGAGATATCCTGTCAGGATGGACAGAGCTCCTTTAGCAGAGAGTACAGATTGATCGGGGTGGAATGGGAGTCAGGAGAACACAGTGTCTAAGGCAACAAGGCGGTTCAGACAGCTCTGCAGCAGCCTAAACACATGACAGACTCAGGCAGCTCCCACTGCTGCCAACACAACTGCTCGCGGGGTCTGCCAAGAAGCCAGATGCTGCTGCTGGAAAAAATATCTTCCAGAGTTTGGCATCAAGATCCTGTGATTACCATCCAAATGGGAGGAGATGGAGTGATAGAATGTGAGTTTAGTATTTAGCACCCCAGAACTGTGCAGCAGCCTTTGAAGGCAGAGGAAAGAAGTTCAAGCAAAATATTTTTGCTAAAAATATGTTCGGAGAAATGAACTTTTTTTTTTTTTTTTTTTTTTAAATAGCAGAAAACCAAACTATTATTAAAACAACGCAAAATATTTTATGTCCGTATTATTAAATGAGTAAAACCAACGAGGACTGTGGATTCTTTACTTGAGTAAATTTTGTTAAGGAATAGTTTCTTAAAGGTCAGAGCATGAGCTCTTTGTCTCTGGTGTTGTTACTAGTGGAAAGTTCCACTGGAGAGCATCACAGTGACTCCCCTACCCAAGACAAATAGAGATGGGTCAGAGTATTCCCACACAAGTTTGGGAAGGGTTGAATTCGGATCCAAAGTCTGCAGCAAGCCCTTCTCATTGACAAACAGGGGCCAAATCCCTGAATCTATACTGACCCACATTTGGGGGAAAGTTGAGCACTGAAACCACCTGGGCCTGGCTCCAGACTTTGCAGTTTGAACCCATGTTTGGAGGGGAAGCAACAGAGGGATGGGACATTCTCTGAAGTGGTTTGAGGCCGTTCCTGAGCCTCCTCCTTCTCCTTTCTGTGTGGCTGAGCTTTCAGAATGCGTGACTAAAGGAAGACTTGGAGCCCCCTGAGCAGTGAGGGTTCCACCAGCCTGCCTGGCCTTGACAAGGGTCCCCAGTGGACACGGTGGTTATGAGAGCTCAGCATGCTGAAAAAAGCAGGCAAGGCAACATCTGCTCCCCTGGCTGGCTGCACTCACCTCTGCTCTCCAGTCTTGTGCTTCTATATGAGTGCTGGTCCCACTCCATGACTGGGAATCCTATTATTATTGTAATAGTAGTAATAATAATAACAACCCAAGTGGGAACTCAGAAACTTACATCTGGAAAGTTGAGACATAAAGACTGTTTTGTTTTGCTTGTATTTTTCATTGCTTATTTTTATGAAAGATCTGTATTTCAACAAATGTTATCTCCTTCCCTATTATAACAAATCAGAAAAAAGTAAACAAAGTTATTAGTCATCATCTCCTATACTCTGCTTTCTGGGCATGTCAGATTGGTTTGGAGGGGAGGTGGGCAGGGAAGCGGAGAGGATCTGTTCCCTCACTTGGGATGGGAGCTGCCCCAGGGATGCTGCCAGTGCTGCCTGTTCCTTCGGGGAGGTTTGCAAAAGGGAGGAGGAATCTGTCTCAAACCTATGTTTGTCCTGGAGGGTTCAGGCTGTGTCATTCATGGACAGTGCTGTGCCTCTCCTTGGCACAGCCAGTCCCAGCTGGTCTGGCTAGTGATGGCTGTCTCCCTGAAGGCCACAAAGATCCAGGTAACTGCTGACCTAATGGATTTTCCAGTAGCTTTTGACATGTCTCACCCTGGAGCTGATAAATTCAGCTGTTAATTCTACAGCAACCAAAAAAGATAATCCCAAACCTCATCCTTTAAGGTCATTAATAACTTATGGAAACATGATGGGGTTAGTCACAGAACTGGAGGGCTGTGAGGGACGTCTACAGGCTCTATAGGCTCAGGGGGAACCTTCTCAGTCTCCAGAGCTCCCTGAGGGGAAGGGGCAGCCAGGTGGGGGTCAGGCCCTGCTCTCAGGGAACAAGAGACAGCACAAAAGGAAATGGCTTCAAGTTAAACCAGCACAGGTTTAGATTGGATATGGGGGAAAAATTCTTTCCCTAAAGGGTTATCCAGCCCAGGGCAATGATGGACTCGCCATCCCTGGAGGGATTTAAAAGCTGTATAAATATGGCACCTGGGATCATAGTTTAGGGGTGGGTTTGGCAGTGCTGGGTTAACAGTTGGACTCGATGATCTTGGAAGTCTTTTCCAACCCAAATAACTCTACTCACCCACGTGGGACTGATGTTTTAGTCCTTCCCAGATTCTGTTGGGACACTGTTTTTCCATGTTTGACTTGGGAAGGGGAGGTGGGAGGTGTTTCCAGGTGAAATGACAGCAGGATGCTGACACACAGCCCTGGTGTCCCACAGTCTATCCCAGAGGCCAGGACAGCTTTGCTTCCCCAGCTCTTGGCCAGGCTGGGAGCTTTGATGGCAATGAGCTCTGAGAGTCTGATCAGTGTCAGATGTGCAGATTTTTGCTATCAAAAGCTGGAGGCTGTGGGTGGCATCTTCACTCCCAGCATCACCTCCACTGCTGGCGCATGCCGAATTTAGGGTCTGGAGGTGCTGGGTCTGGTGGTGCTGACAGTCCCAGGGGGATGGGGGGATGTGCCTTTTTACCCCACACACAGAAATCTGATCTGCCCCAATTAATAGAAAGGATTCTTTTGCCCTGATGCACAGCAGTGCAAACTACAATTTACTATCTGTTTCTTCATTATCCCTTTTCTAGGTCTCCCCTTCTCACCCCACTGTGTGGTTCTGCATCTGCCCTCCCAGTCTCAGGCTCAGGTTTCTGCTCTCACTCATGCCTTCTGTAAATATTATTTCAGCATCATCAGCAGTTGCTCTGTTTCTCCCTTCCTCTCTATAGATATCAGAATCCATCATGATCTTCAGATCATCTGGAAGTCCCTGATGGTGATGTTGTTCAGCTGATCAGATGAACAAAGGCTCCTGGAGCTCCCTCTCAATCACTGATTTTCATCCCTGCTTGATGTAGAATGTTACAATGGATGATCTTGCATCCAGTTTGTATGCCAGCCACTGGAAGAGTGACCTTGTTGGGAAGGCTCAACCTGTTAGGATGCTTAAAAAAAATGTCCAGGTTCTCTAATATCTTGGAAAGGTTTTCAGTTGAGCTTTGAGAGGGAAAAGATGAGGGAGTGAGCCTTTGCCATGATGAACTGGCTATCCGTCTCTATAAGAACTGCCCTCCACAGTGACTTCTGGAGAATTTTGTGCTCTCTGTGCCTTTCCCAGCCATGCAGGACATCTGGATCCTGTATGTGACACCTTCTGTTGGTGCCAGCAGGTGCTGGTGAATCTCAGCTGTAAATGTCTGCAGTCCCTTGCCGTAAGATGTCTCTTAAAAAAACTTCTGAAATTAAGATGCTGTAAGATTTGGATAGTTTAAGTATTAGTGAATTCTGGCCACTATGAAGACATCTCATAGGCCAGCTCTTTCCTGGCTGGTGTTTTAACATCAGTTCATAGATGATGACTGTCTTGGAGACCTGGATTTTGGACTGTCCTTGTACACTCACATCCTCATGTGTGACCTAGCCCTAATCTGTGGTTGAGTTGCTGGGAGATTAATTTAGGTGTTCTTCACCAACATCTCAGCTCCCTTGGTCTTTGCCAATTGCTTTTCTCCCCGGAGTAGAAGTACGTGATATGTTGTTCTCTGAGTAACAGACTAAGGTATTTTAAACTGGATTTACACAATAGTATAAATTATATTTATCTCACTGTAGCTCCTTTGTGTACTCACACCCCTTACAACATTTCAAACCTGCACAGACCCACCAGACTATCCTGGGGTCATAGAGGAAGAGCTGAGTGTGATTCATGACACAGGATTTTTGTCCTCAGGGTTGGCCGATTTTACCTCTTCCCATCATTTTACTTGGAGCACTGAGCTCCAAGCAGCAATAAGCCAAGACAGCATGAGCTCCAAAGCACTTGAGATCCAGGATATCCTGGGTCAGGAATCACAAGTTTGTATCAATATCCCAACTTCAGACAGCACACAAGTCCAAATTTGTCCTTTTGAACAGAAAGGTAATATACCACACGTGAAAAACTGTGCAGGAACCAAAAGAAGCCGCAGTTGCAGCTAAGCCAAGGCACTGCCAGAAGTGCTTTTTGGGGAGCACTGCTGAGCGGGTGGCTGGCTGCCTGTGTCACCTGCTGGGAAGGAAGGAACCTCAGCTGAGGGGGTTCCCTTGAAAGGATGACTGCATGCAGCTTTGTGTCCTCCAAGGATGGCTCAGGCACAATGCACTTGCCCGGACTGTGCTGGCCTTTGAAAACTGAGGTCGTTTTATTTCTAACCCTTAGGTAGTTCAGTTCTTACTAGAGTATCCCACTCATTGCAACCATCGCCCCCTCACTGAAATCATGCTTTGTTACATATCATGTTACAGACAAGAGCTGATTTGAGAACTGCTGGTCACCTCCTTTTGTCGGTATGGCAGCATTTGGTTGCTTGCAGATATATCTGAGGCTCACCTCTCTGGTGAGATCTGTTTCTCCTATTCCTGAAGAAAACACCTTTATTTTCCCTGTATCTGGAGCTGACTTAGCTTGGTTTCAGAGAATCAGAGGCATAATTTGCTTGGGCTGTGAAACTTAAGCGTTTAAAGTCCACACACTGAGCACTTAGGGCAGTTATGGTGTCCTGGTTTCCTGGGAAGCACAGCTCCACTCATTATGTGCAAGTCACCCAGGCTGAAAAGCCACTGGTCATTCCCTCAGGTCATGGACTGCACTCCAGCAGCTCCAATTACCTCAGCAGAATGGGATCACCCATAACAGCCTAAGTAAATCAGGAAGTCACCAAACAAGGGAAGTAATTACAGCTTCCTTCAATCCTGAAAAAGCAACCTGTTCTTTTACGACCCATCAAAACCATGTGTTTGCCTTTAGTGGTTAAAATAAAGGGTGTGCAATTTGGGAATAATCCAGCTATGAAGTTTCCTTAGTAATTGGCAAATCCTGAAAGGTTTTCACTTCTACAATTTAAAGGTGGCAAGCATGAAATTAATTTAACTTTCTTTTAGATTAGCCTTTAAAGGACACTACAAAACCAAAGAATGACATTCTCAAAGGGTGAACCCCCATTTCACCCATTTGACATAACGATTATTTTATTAACTACCTTTAAATTTCACTTATAATGTCATTTAGTAACGCAGTAAAACCAGAATATCAGTCACTGTAGCTCTATCAAGCATTCAGAATTCAAAAAATATTTACCCTTTTCAGAGAAAGGCCTAGAATATTACTCAATTCTATCAGAGCTACTATCACTTTACATAACTCTTACACTCTTGTTTTTCAGATCTGGTTTCAACACGCCCATTCATTTGATTCAGACTCAATTGATTGTAAGATAAAAAACCCTTGTTTGCAATAAGTCTACCTGCATTTTTATACAGCACTTTTCAAATGCTT